CAAAATACCTCATAGATGTTCCAAAGGATACATATATGTCCCGAAGGACCGCGTAGACCCTTGACTCTTGGCATGCCAACTATACCCCTAGCTCTCATGACACATATCATGGGCATTATCTTTTATATCCTTTTTCATATTCATGTAATCATATCACATATTCATATAAACTCGTAGCTTCATTCACATATATATTTAATCACGTAGTTCATGTAAATTCTCATATCATTTCGTATTCATGTATCACATGACATATAACACTTCTCATGTGTTCCTATAAACATGTCATATCCTATGACTTATATCTTTTCGTATAATTTATGCTTTAATCTCTTATATTTACCTGATTCAATATCATTTAACTTGTTTCACTTTCTCATATCACATATACTTTCTCTTTCATATATCTAATGTCATGTATCATATCTTGTAATCGTGTAAACATGTCTCTTTAATGTAATTTACATAGTAATGCCATATATTTATATTATATAATGATTTAACCTAAGTCATCCTTTATAAAGTTTATAATACATGTTCAAATAGTCTCATTCTATCCTATAAATAATTTCCACTTATCTTATCTTATTTCCCCTTTCACTTACATAATTCATCTATATATACTAATTTAATTTATTTAATTAGTTCAATTTTCCATTACTTCATACATATACTCTTTCATAAAGCTTTGTAGCTCTTCATGTTATAATTCATAAACCATAGTTTCCTTTAACTATATAAATCTTCCCTATATAACTTATGTATCCTTATTTATGCATATGCCCTCGAATTTATACTATCCTCATAGAGTCTTCTAACATTTCTTGTGTAATCACCTATACCATATAATATGACTTATACTTGATTATCTTATGCTCACTCGTTCATTTCATTCCTTATGTCTCTATCATATAATTTATTTCATGTTCTTCCATTATTACATTTTAGTGTTTTACACACATCCTATAGCATATACAAAGCACATCAATATCTTTAGTTATGCATACATACAATTAATGTAAAATATATAATCACATATAATAATAACAACCACATAATCTTATTCATGACTTCATGCATATTTTTCTAGGAAATAGACTCATCGCAAGTCCTATTTCCATTAAACAATACATGTCACTATTATGCACTCACCTGGCCTCACTAGTCAATTTCAATCTCTTATCTTTCCCCTTGATCGATCTTACTTGTCAATGATTCCGGAACTTGTTTAGGCTCTGAATCTACATAATTATACATTTTAAGGCAATTATCATATACCTACACCTTGTAATCTGATGCTAACAACTTAAACGAACTTAATAAACTAATATTCACTTTTTCCTTCAGGGGTGTACCGATGCACTATAGGTGCATCGGTACCCAAAATAGCTTTGAAATATTGATGCATCGATGCACCCCTTACTGCATCGATGCACCCCTTACTACATCGATGCACCTTCAAAATTTGTCTTGGTGCATCGGTGCACACTCATAGTGCATCGATACATTCCTGGCATTCGATGTTTCTTCTTTAAAGAGTGCATCGGTACACTTTGAATGTGTACCGATTCACCTTGCCCAGAAATTACTCTTTAGGCACGATAATTCACTCTTTCATCTTCAAAACTTCATGGTTCATCCTCTTTTATAATCCTAACTTACATATACATGCTTAAATTCATTTTATTCATTTATCTTGTCTTTAACCTTAATATCCTCTCCTCTTTATTAACTTCAAGAATTATACCAAATTTTCAACATGTTTTAAAACTCATTCTATCACTTCACATCTCTTAATTCAACCCTTGACAAGTCAAATTCAACTTTAAAATCTATTAACTCCTTCTATTTCAAAAATTCACTTAAAACTGATTTTTCTTAATTTCTCATAACTTGTTAATCTTTGAGTTTTAAGCCACCTAAAGCTTTCTTAATCTTTCTTAATATCCCAAGAATCAAAACAAGCTTTAAAACGAAAGAATTAACCAACTGAAGACCCACCTACCTTATACAAGGCTTCACGGTGGAGATGAGGAAAAAGAAGACTGAAGAATGCTCTGGAGAAATTATCTCCTTCCCACGTACTTATTACCTTTTATAAAGGGAAATAAAAATCTTTCCTGAAAATGACCATAATACCCTTATTACTTTTAAACTTTGTTATTAAATCCAACATCAATACTTTTCATTTAAATCCCTAAACTTTCAATCTTTTCTGAGATTGGTCACTAAATTATCAAAAATTCTATTTTGGTCATTGACCCGACTTTTGGGATGTTACAATAAACATACTCTGATTTTGGTATAATGTTAGAAAATTAATTAAGACTCGTATGACCCATACAAGGAACTAGTGGACCAATATAAATTTTAAGTTGAGTAAAGTTAACTTCTGAACCATAAATCTATATTTTCCTATTAAGAGTTTATAAGTTAATATTCGTATGAAAATGACTAAAATAGCCTTAGGGTTTAGAAAGGATGCATATTGCTTCTAATGGTGGAATTAGCCCAAGAATTATGATTTGGTCTGATATGACTACCGATTTACTTGTTAAAATTTTCTAATCTATTTGGAAAAGTCCTGAAAGTCAGTCTCTAACCTTTGTGGAGGCACTTAGTCTAAAGTTTCTGATTCCTGAGCAACAACTGAAGACTATTTTACTGAAAGCACTGTATATGACTAAATTTATTAAAATGATATAAATACCTCGATCTTTAAAATGATCAAAATACACTCAAGTTCTAGACTAACCTAAATACCCTCATGACTTGGATTAAGTGAATTACTTTGAATAAATCCTGGGAATATCGTTAAAGCTTTAAATGTTGTAATGAGCATAAGGATTATGGAGTACGACCCAAGTATGTCAGCTACTTCTAATACCCTTACAATACAGAATAAAGTTGAATAAATGTTGTGCGAATACACATGCATCTCCTTGGGATCCAATGCAAGGAATTTAAGAAGATAAATTGTTCAACTTCACAGTGCATTTGAATTAAGGAATCAACATTCGTGAAGTGTTCATGTCAAAGTTATGGGTATATAACACAATGATGAGACCTATGTAGTTCAGTTGGACTTGGGAGTCGAAATTGTTAGAAATCTCGAATACTGCAAATTACTGTTTATCCTTTTTAAGTTTTTTTTACCAAAGTTTCTTCAAGAATCAAAGTGACTAAAATGTCACTATATGTTTGAATATTGGAATCTTTTCTGATATATCTAAAATCTTGAATAGCCCTGATGTCACAGTTCCTTAATACTCTTTCGATGTATCCGAATTCTAAATGGTCTTGATGTACCATCTCTCGAATTCCCGATTTGATGTTTTAATTATCGATCCCTTTAATAGAGATCTCGCTCATGAAACCATTTCAAAATCTACCTAAAGTTCTACTTCCATTTTTGTTAGTACTCATGTGAAATAAATTGGGGCCTTTAGTGTTTTCCATGATCATCTGATTATTTTCTCTTATTTAAAAATGAGATTATTTTCTTTAATTTTAAACATATGACTTTGATATCTGAAATAAAAATGCAATCTTTGATTCCGATTTCCCTGATACAAAATATATATGGATCATGATTTTTTGATATTATCGTTTTACTATTATGGGGATGATTATTATTGGAGGAAGTGTCTCAAGCTTAGTCTATGACTTTTAAGACCTTACTGTAGGCTCTTCTTCTTTGTGCACATGGTAAGTCTTTACCGAAGGCCCCTCCACTTTGTGCACAAGGTAAGTCCTTACCGTATGCCCTTATGCTATAAGTATAAGGTAATTACTGGGTGTACATGTGTGTGTATGGTTCAGGGGAACATACACATTCTGGTATTCGGATGAAAGGCAAAAAGATGATTTTTAAATTAAAATCTATTGCCTCTTTAAATGTTTGTTTTATCGAAATACATGTTTACAATTTGGAACTATATGTATGTTTTCTTTATTCTGATGGAGCACACTAAACTCTTTAACTCAATCTTTGAGATCTATCTTTGTCTAACATCTTCCGATCTAAATACTTCTGAATTTTACTTTGAGGATCTATTAAAATTTCAAGACTTTTCTGGAGTTTGTAGATACTTGTATCACTGAGGATACTTTCACGTATTACCATATATTTGTTTTCCCTTTAACATCTTTTGGTAGTTTTGTATTATTGAGCTTTTCCAAAGCTCACTTTTTTACTTATCATTTCAGGTTAAAAAAAATTATCTTGTGCTTTTATTGACATTAATGGAAATTTCATTGGCGTTACTTATAGAGTACGACGCGTGTAATTAGGGGACATGTAGGTTACAATTTGCTTTTATATTACATTTTGAAACTTGTTTTTATACAGTGTATTATTGAATTCTGTTTCAATATCTGAATTTAAATATATATGTTGAGAATGTTTTATGATTTTAGAATCTTATTGGTTAAAGTTTTATTTTTCACAAAATTTCAGAGCGGGTCACTCCAATGGCCCTTATGTGACACCGTAGATCGGATCAATTTACTCGTATTGATTTAGGGTGTTACATGTAAAATAAAAAATGAAAAAAAATAAAAATAAAAATGAAGTATTGAAATGAGCATACTATCATGAGACCACAATATAAAAGGTTTTAAAAAATTATATGGATTACGATTTAATTATAGAAATTCTAATGTAATTATTAATTAATTTTTAATTAGATTATTTAACTTTCATATAATATCAATCAAATTTAGTAAATAAGATGGAATCTCGCGTGATGATTAAAATTAGTATAATTATATATTGATTCTTATTATTTAATATTCTATTGATTTGAATTTATATTTTTAATTCGATAAATTATAAGTCATAGTCTGATTGAGAGATTTTAAGAGGTTTAAAGTGTTACATTGAGGGTGTGGGTAGCATGAACATTTTGACTCTTTATCCATTTACTTGATGCAAACGCAAAGAGACGAAGAATTGAAAAGGATAATCATAAACGACCTTATCATAAATGGCTTTGAAATTCCGAAAGCAAATCCAAAATACTTAACAATCATTTATTCAATGATTTTCTTTACAAAATGCAAAAGCAAACATCCCGAACCCATGAACATGTGATTCTGTACATTAATAGTTCAACATTTCAGTGGAGGCCATACTTTGGTGGTTCATTAATGTCGACGATTTGATCGCAGAAGCTTCTTCCACTCTGATTCGCCAAATTGGATTGCAGTAATTCCAGCTTCCTTAAATATTGACCCAATTCCATTTGTTGAGCCCTCAAACCGTTGTTTTCACAGTCCAAGGCAACAGTTTTTTGCATCAAAACTTCACATTTCTCAGCGTTGTTATGAATTTCAACCTTCAATGACCCAATCTCGGTGGCCAAATCTTCCAAAAGCTTCTGCTTCTTCATCCGTGATCGTCGAGCCGATTCTCGATTCGATATCATCCGTTTCCGCTTCTTTTCGTCCACGTTCATGCCCCGGGCATCGGCATCGGTCCCCGAACTCATCGTAGGCGGAACGTTGGACGATTTTGCGGATTGAAGGGTTGGAAAGTCTGGTACCTAGGAAGAAGTTATAAAACAAAAGACCAGAACGATGAATACTAATTTTCTTAGTGATTGTCAAAATCTTTTGAGAAAAGCAAATCAACCCAAGATGGAGGAGAAGACATAAAACCAATGAAGAATGACAACCGAAACTGAATGAAAGAAAAGAGTCTGTGAGAATGACGAAAGACAGTTCATATCATAAATCCCTCAAGCTCAGAGTTTTGAAGAGTTCAAATATAAAGTTTGAGGAGGATGAATATTGAAAACAAAAGGTATGTATGTATGTATGTATGTATGTATGTATGTATGTGTATATATATACACAAGTGAAAGGCTTATCTTAAAAATAGAGAAATCAAAAAAGGAAAAATATAACAAAGTTTATCCCATTGGATCAATGAAAAGAATATAAAAAAGAAAAGGAGTCTTCCATGTTGGATCAATGATGGTCAAGAAACGCATGTCATTCAATTACAGTTTATGTACCAAAAAGAAAATTCAATTACACCAAGATTATTGGTCTAATGAGATAAGGCACTAGATCCCTTAAGCAAGTTCAGTGGTTCAAAACCTGGCGTTTGCGAATGGGACAAACTAGGTTGGGAGGGTCGCCTTTGCCTCTGCTGTACCCGATCTAGATTAGTCGGTCAATAGATTAGATCAGTGATTAATTCAAAAAAAATCAATTACAGTTTCATTTCTATATTTGATTTTCGGGTAAATTACAACATTACTCACTGAACTTTAGTCTCCTTCCTATTTTACTTATTATACTTTCAATTTTTCTAATTTACTCATTGAATTTTTTAGTTGCTCTTGTTTTGTCCCTCTGAATTATTTTATTATTTTTTGTATGAAATTATATTTTTAATTGTTATTAAATATAAAAATAATTTAAAATTAATAATAAAATAATATTTTATTATTATTAAATTTAAAAAGACTTAAAATAATCACCTTCCACCGTCGACCTTTGAAATTATTTTTATATTAAATAATAATAAAAATATCACATCATATGAAAATAATAATAAAATAATTTAAAATGATCAAAACAAGAGCAATTCAAAAGTTCAGTGAGTAAATTAAAAAAAAGTTAAAAGTACATTGAATAAAATAGAATAGAAAATAAAGTTCAGGGAGAAATGATGTATTTTACCCTTGATTTTTATTGGTCAAATCTAATGTATATTGTAAAGTTTTTATGAATTGCTCTATCACAACTCTAAGCCCCTTTAAAGCTCTAACCGCCCCCTTAATTTTTCATTTTAATTTGATAGACGGTGGTATTAGTTATAGTGTTGGTTAACACTATCGGTATTTCTTATTTTTTTCTTTATTTTCTTAAATCATATATTTGATTTTTCTTTAAGTTGTTTTAATAATTTTATTTTTATAACATACTTTTCTTTGTCCTTTAGGACATTTTTGATCGTTTGGTTGTTGATTTCTTTTATCTTTTGTTCTTAGGAGTGGATTTGATATCACCGTGATTAATAAAGATGACGTTTATTTACTATTATGTTGATCTTCTTTGCTTTGGACTATCGAATTGAATTTGGTTTGTGGATAGTTTTCTTACGTCGCTCGACCCTAATTTATAGTTTATATGTGGCCTTTTAGTAGTTTAATCACATTTTATGATTCTTTTGTCGATGCAAACATATTTGTTCGTATTTATCTTTGATCAAGTTTTGTTTTATTAAGTTTTCTAATATCTAGTCTTTATATGATTTTAAGTAACTAATTTTTGTCTTAATAATTATAAAAAATATTTTTATTATATATTTTATTTACAAGAATAATTATAAATCTTCATTATGATTTTAAGTATTTCTTACTTCTAACAAAACTAAGCTAACAACTTCTATCAATTTTTTTTTATCATAAACATAAGTTCAAGACTTTATTAAGAAAATAAAATGTTGGTGCAAATATCAATCGAAGATACATTGTACTATCAGATAAGGTAATTAACATTTATTTATTTTTTCGTTTAAAAATTGTTTTAATATTATTGAGCCAAATTAAAACAAGTGATAACCAGCAACCAGTTGGTCTAGAAGGATAAGATACTAGGTCCCTTAAGAAAAGACAGGAGTTCGAATCATGACATTTACGAATGGAGCAAACTGGGTTGGGAGGGTCGTCTTCACCTCTAAAGTACCCAAAATGAATTAGTCGATTAATAGATCGGAGATACCAGTGATTAATTAAAAAAACAAGTGATAGACATGATAAAATAAAATAATCATAGCAAATTCAAATACTAATCACTTGGATCTAAAACAGCTCATTTTCCTTGCCTAAAGTTTCTTTATCATTATCCACTCAGTTTCTAGTATTTTCTTCTTTCATGGGACTATTTATTAGACCACACTAAAGTTGGGCAGAGAAATAAAGTATTACAGGTTATTGGTATTAACATTTATATATTAAAGGGTAAAGTACATAAATAGTTTTATGATTATAGGATGTTATTTTGTTGAATCCTCTGACTAGTAAAAATTATAAAATAGTCCTCCGAATATTGAACGTTGTTTTGTTGAATCTTTGACTATTAAAAGTTACAAAATTATCACTCAACTGTTCATATGTTTCGAACTCGTCCTTTTTTGTTAAAAAATTAGTAGTAGTCCGAGTTAGATGTTAACAATGATATGATAGTCATTTGAGATTTTGTGATCAAATTTTATCACGTTTCAGTCAATAGGTTAACGTCCAACTCAGATTACCATCAAATTTTTAACCAAAAAGGATGAGTTTGGAATATATAAATAGTCAAGTGACCATTTTATAACTTTTAATAGTTGGGAAACTCAACAAAGTAACGACCTATAGTCAAGGGACCACTTTATAATTTCTGATAGTTGAATGAATTAATAAAACAACACCTTGTAGTCGATGGATTATTTATTTACTTTACCCCATATAATGTTATTAAGACTAAGAATGATCCAATTCAGAATATATCCGTTTTCCTTAACCAAATCAGGTGCATCTGTAAGTCTATTTTCAGATAAACTTGTCTGAAATGAGAACAAAATCAAAAAAAGAAGAGCAAAGACTAATATCATATAAAACGTCAATGCTTTTGCAGATATTATTAACAACATAATCTTCATGGTCCTACATGCACCTAAGACCCCCACATTTTATGTATATGGATGGACAAGATCTAATTTTATAGTGTAACAGGTTTAAGATCGTTAAATGAATAAAAACATACGATGAAATTAACTGTATGAAATAAGAAAATATTCACTGAAAAATAAAAATTAATTTCAGTCTTCTATTTTCATTCATCCAAAGACCCTAAAAATACGTAAAACTAAAAAAATTATATATTATGTAAGTGAAACTTAACCCATATATATTCACGTATGTTGTTTGTGTATATACCGATAAAGCAATTATGTGATGTTATTTTCTCCTGATATTTACATTTCTCTTAATGATGTGTGCATGTCGGATGCTAATATTTTCTCCTGATATTGTGATTAGGGTTTTATTTATGTTGAACGTTTTTCATGTGTATAGCGTCCACAAGCATGGTAAACGAGCTATATATTTCTAGTCTAAGTGTTGAGTTCTTTGGACCCAATTTGCTTCTTGTTTTTTTTTTTATCACAACAACTTTTTATTAATATTTAAAATATCATTTGTAAGTGAATTAAAAAAAACTCCATGATAGAGAAAAACATAAACTGCACACCATAGCCAACATAGTGTAACACGCCTAAGAACCATGATCAAGACACAGAAAAGCTTTTCATGCTCGATACAAAACGAAAACAACCAACAATTTTAGAACAATTCTAAATCCCACCACAACAGACAACTTCATACACTGCAGCCAATATAACCACCATCCAGTTAAATGTCCACGAGTTCATGAAGATCGAAAGAATGGCAAGCCCACGACCAGAATTGGTTGAATAAGCAAACATTATCGACATCACCGAAAAAAGTAAAAGATTGTGTCTAGACTTCCTTGATTGCAAACTTCTTGACAGACCAAATCTTTGTTGAAACCCTCTGAGCGCGCTTTGGATCGACTTACAGCTAGTTTTCGGATCTCTTCATGAAAGTCATAACACTCAAAATCTCTTCTTGTTCTTATGTTATATTTACTTCCCAAATCCTCCCAAAAATGAGCCTTGGAGTGAACTAATTAATAGTCACCACCAAGGCTGGTTTCCCTCTTAAAGCTGCATAGTTTGACGAAGAAAAATAATTCCAAAATCATGTTGTTAACACCAGAACCTAAAGTTCTAAATGTAGCTGCTTGAGCTGAAGAAATGTATTCTTTCCATTGAAATGACTAAGACATGATCACCAGCATCAATCCATTGTCGTCCAGTGGTTAGGATATCTGGCTTTCACCCAGGAGACCCCCGGGTTCAATTCTTGGCAATGGAATTCCCTTGTGAATAAATTAAAAACAAAATGCACCATGCCATAACACTGCATACCCTTTGTATACCACTTTCATAGTTAAATCGCTTCAAAATCTTATTTGTTAATGATGTTCTATCCGTGGTGCATAATCGTATCATGTAGGATGCTAGATATTTTCTCCTGATATTGTGATTAGGGTTTTCTATTCATGTTCATTTTTTAGTTTTCGAGTGTTTTTCCATAACTTTGATTTTTTATTTTACTACATTGATAAGAATTTGTTTGTGTTAATGTGTTTGGAGGAACAAGAACTGGGTACAGTCTTATTGGAGTAATGAAAACATAAGTATATCGAGAATTCTTCAACTTAATGAATATGAAAATTACCATATTAAGTGAGTGTAATCAAAATTGAATTTGTAAGTACGTTGTTATATTTTTTAGATTTTTTTTATTAATCTGAGATAAGTAAAATTACTCTCAACCTTTCGACATTGACCGCTCACACTCATAGTATTTATGGTGCTCGAACTCAGGTCCTAAAGGAATAACAACAATTCAATTACCACGAAGGCCACTTGATTCATGTCATTATTAAGATTTTATATGTGCAGTTATTGTTATGTAAAATGATAAATTGTATGTTCGGTTCAATTTGAGCTTTTGAGTTAGTAAACGATGTAAAGATGTGTTATTTCAATGTTTGATCATATCTAATATAAGATCGTTTAAATATTTTTATAATAATGCGATAAATTATCATGTTTCAAAATTTAAATCCATGCTAAAATATGTTCGAGAATTTGTTGTTAGCTATAAGCTAATCGTTACTACAAATCGTATCTTTCTTATAATTGAATCTAAGTTATTTCGAGCTTTGGTTATTAGTGATTTTGTAAGGGTATTTGAGACTTAAATCTCGGCGAGGAAGAGAAATATTGTGATAGTCTACTTCTATCTTAGTAAACAGAGGGATGATTATAGTGTTTTGTTTTGATATTTTATGATGAGATTGGATCTGAGTATTCATAAACTAATAGTATACCATCGGACTAAATATAATGAAAATTGATAAATTAAATTACTTTTCTTTGTAAATTGCAATATAAGATATGCATGAACATTGGTCTTTGGATTATATATATATATATATATATATATATATATATATATATAATTGGTTATCCTATCAGTTTCAGAGTTTCATCATGATTAATCTAGATCGTTTCGTATCGCATACCTTATTTTGGTGGGTGAGAATCTCGTTGAGGATTTTCTACATACATAAAAACTTGAACCCGAGACTTGCTTAAGCGATATCAAATTGTTTACCACTTAAATCAACCCGTTGATATAAATTTTAAGGCTTAAGGGCTATTTTTACCGTTGTAGTAGACCTAATTTATTATTTTCGTCCCTATAATTTTTGTCTCAATTTAGCCGTCGAAGTTGTTTAGTGTATTTATCCTAACTCTTAAAGTATGTTGACTATTTTGACTAATATAATTGTGAGTATTCTGCGTATGTGGATTAAAAGATTATATTAAAATATATATTAAACACAATGATTAGAATAAATTCCCAAAAATTTATTATTTATTTCAGTGAGATTAAGGGATTAAGTCAATTTTTTTGGAATTTTTTCAAACCATTGAAATTATGAAATATTTTATAATTTTTTTAATAAATATCATGTCATCATCAAGCCACGTCAGTAATATTGACTTATCTGAAAATTGCTGATGTTGATAAATGTAGAAAACTAACGGTTTTGTTAGTTAAAATAGACTTTTAGGGTTAAGATGAACACCTTAAACAACTTCGAATGCTAAATTGATAAAAAAATCACATAAACTAAAACGATAATTTAAATCTACTACATAGGCAAAAGTAATCATTGATTCAAGATGATTTTATTTAAACGTAAATTTTATAATATTTGAAAGTTATTTCGATAATAAAATCACATGAATTCAAGATGAAAACGCACACAATGACTAAAACCAGAAAGCCGAATTCCCATGGTTTGCAGGTTTACATATCAGCCTTGAGAGAGAATGTAGCATTATACGAAGCATTAATATCCCCCACTCTTCCTCCACCAAAACGTAGTTGATATTTGGGCTGCTTGTTCGGCGAAAATAACCCGAAGTGTTTCTCAATCTCAGGCCCTGGCTTCTGATTTTCATCAAACATAGCAAACAAATAAGTCTCTATAGCCCTTCCTGGCCTCTTTGGGGTACCCCCTCCCGCATGTCTGATTAAGTTGGATAGGTATGTGGCTGCGTTATCCACCGATGTCCCGAACCCACCGGCCGACGGCCATCCGCTTTCCGATACCACGACTTCGAGGCCGCCTTGTCCGGCTTTCTCGAGAGCCGAGTATAACGAATCCAACATCGCATCGAAGAGGTTTTGGTATCCGCGTCCTTGATCCCATACGACGGGTGACGGAGAAGTGAATGTGGCGTATTGAAGTGAGATATCCCTTGGATTGTCTGCATAGCTGAAGTAAGTGTATATGTTGGCAAGTAATGGTGTCCTTGCCCATGCTAAGTGGCCGATGATGGGGTCCAGATACGACCTAATTTCCCCGCGGAACGCGCCGGCCGACGGAGGGAACGAGACACCGATCAAGGTCATATCTATCGCGATTGAGACCTTGATCTGGTTCTCTAAACCGGCCGATCGAACCGCGTTGAATACGTTCACTAAAGCGGGCAAAACGTATTGAGCTAACCAGGATGTTTCGTCGTTAACCGGCCTGACTTCGTTTCCGACAGCAATGTATCGAATCCGAACGCTTGGCCAGTACGGTACGACGTTTCGTTGGACCCATGATTGTGCTCCGGACGGGTTAGCGAGGTTCGGAAGCTCGGAATTCGGAACGCCTAAAATGAGTTCAATGTTTGAGCCTCTTAGAGCTTGTAATGCTTGTGAGTTTGGATCGTAGAGTCTCATTCGCCTGATGTTGTTTGACCTGTAAAGATCGATGACTTCCCGTGCATTTGGGAGATTGTTGCCCAACATCCCATAGCAAACACCAACCTGTGCAGCTGCATTAATTATTTATTAAATATTTAAATTCGAGTGAAGTTATACATAGAACTTGAATAACATGAAATGCATATCATATATATATATATATATATATATATATGGTTATAAAAAACCATTTAAATTAGAATCAAATAGTATCGTAATATTATAAATATTTACAATTAAATTTAAGGATAAACTACATGTTTACTAGTTAAACTATTACTTTTATTTCATTTTAGTATTCTAACTTTATTTTTTTTAAATCTTGCCTAACGTTATTTTAGGTTTCAATTTGATACCTAATTGTTAAAAAATTAACATAACTGCTTACGTGGCATTTTAAAAAAAATCAATAATAACGTGACATTACCTTATGGTGACACATCAACATCACCATTAAGTTTTTAACATGTACCAAAACGAAACCCAAATTAAACGTTAGGTGTGATTTTGAGAAAAAAATAAAGTTTGGATACCAAAACAAAACAAAAGTAATAGTTTAGATACTAAGTGCACAATTTTCTCTAAATTTAAACAAAAACTATAATAACTCGACTTGAATTTATTAAACTCGAAAAGATTTCAAATAAAATTTAAGTTATAAAATATAACTCGTCAACTCGAATAACTCAAATTTTTTTTTACACGAGTCAGACATGATGAAATGCTCACACCTGATATGTATGCATGTCAAGAAGGAAAGAGAGAAATGAACCGGTTGGATTGAAGTTTGCAGCGAAAAACCCTAGAAGAAGAAGGAGAATACCAGCCATGGCCATGGATGGAGAATATATAGACCAAAGTGCCTTGATTTCGATTTCCCTCGTACAAACTGATCTCTTTATATAGATACATATATACATATGATGATTTTTGCCTATGGATTAAGTAATTAATTAATTAAACAGCTGTTTCTCTTGACGAATTCAATTCATCCATTATCTCCCTACCATGTCCTTTTCATTTACTTGGGAGAAAAAAACCTAAAAACAACCAATCAAAGACATTGCTACGAAACTTCGGATTAAGAAAGCAAGCCATTACGTGGAGTTGAATGACTCTAACATATATCCTTTTATTAATTTTTTTTGGTTTGTTTATGGATTTAGAAATTAAAAAAAGATAGAGTCTAAAATTTTAATAATCTATTTTTAAAAAATAATATAAAAAATTTATTATTTTTAATATATTAAATTAAATTTAACATTTTTTTTAAAAATTATGTATATATAATTATTCACTTTAAAAGCCACGTACATGATTATATAACAAAGTCTTCAATCCTATCCATCCCACCACCTACCATTTTACCTATATATACTTATGTTATATTTTCTATACGCATCTTCTTTAAAAAATTATCACGAGGACATGTCAAGTTATAATAAAAAATTATATTTTATGAAATTTGTATATGAAATTCGTCATGCCTTCATGACGAGTTTTGATAAAAAAAATATATTTTATGAAATTCATCATATTCTTGTTACAAGTTCAAAACCACTGTAGCCACGGATGAGCACATAAATTTCTACAGGAGGGTGTGAACTTAATAAATTATATTAAAAATTTAGGATGTAAATTACGATAATCAATAGAAAATATAAAGAAAATTAAAATTTCTAAAGATACAACCATATTCTCAATATCTCTCTCGATCTATCCTTCAATTATCTATACCAAATAGAGTAGATCCCTAAATAATCTCCCTCCAACTATGATTTTAAATTTTTTTATTCATAATATTTTTATAATTTTGCCTGTTATGGTATATGTTTACTTTTGTTTTAAATATGAGAAATTTGTACATATTTTTGTTTGAAATAATATGTAACGATTTGACAGGTTGCCAAGTCCACAAGTCTTGTCTGAATGACATTTTATAAAATCATTAACAGTTTGGCTGAATTTTCTTTTGCTTGAGTTGTCTATTACTGAATGGAAATCTCACCACCTGTAATCTATGGACTGACCATTATCTTTACCTTATAATTGTAAATTTTAGATATTAGAATCTGTCAAATTTTATTAAAAGATTTTCTTAAATGGGTGGAGGTAAATTTTGGGTGTTAGTTTCTTTTAAATGATATCTAAATTATTATAAATTTATATTGATTTTATTTTTAAATTGTTTATAAAATTTAAAAGTATATATAAATAAAAATCCAAACTCAATCTATGGACAATTGACAATTCAATAGAAGAAACAAAAGTCTTAAACTGATGGCTTTACTGTAGCATTGTTGCACACGTCGAAAAGATGATAGGATTTAGTAATATTCGATTTACTTTATCTATATCACTTATTATATATATTTTTTATTTCATGTGTTGATCATGGAAAAGGGGTTTAAGTAATTTTAAACTGGTAATAAGTGCTTTTATATTTTAAAATTTTAAATATATTTTTTGGCAAGAAAATTATATATATATAAAAATATATTAGTAGTATCATTATTAAAAGACTTCTTATAAATTTTCGGGTAAAATACACAAATGGTTCTTTTGTTAAGTTACTCGATTGTTGAAAGTTACAAAATAATCTACGACTATAGGGCGTTGCTTTTGTTAAGTTGTTTTAATTAAAATGGTTGAGATAATGTAAGTGGAATTTTTTAATTCCCAATATAATCAACCCCGAGAGTATTTCTCCATCTAAGGTGAATTAAATAGTACCAAACTAAAGATGTCAGATGCTCCACGCGTCTTCAAGACAAATATGAAGACTACACGACTGCATGATATCTTCAGGCAAATGAAGAAGACCCTACGACTGCATGACATCTTCAGGCAAATGGAGAAGATCCCAAGAGTGCACGGCGTTTTCAGACCAATAAAAAACCTACTTCAGGATATAATATGGTGGATGTCTTATATGAGAAAATAATTTTTCTTAGAACATAGGGTTATAAGTAATTTTAAAGTGGTAATAAGTGTTTTCATATTTAAAATTTTTAAATATATTTTTGGCAAGAAAATTATATATATATATATATATATATATTATTAGTATCATTATTAAAAGACTTTTTATAAACTTTAGGGTAAAGTAAAAAAATGATTCTTTGTTAAGTTACTTGACTATTAAAAGTTAAAAAATAAGCTTCGATTATAGGGCGTTACTTTGTTGAGTGCCTCTACTGTTAAAAATTATAAAATGATCGCCATACTATTCATATATTTTAAACTTGTTCTTTTTCATTAAAAAATTGTTACATTTTGAGCTGAACATTAACTTATCGTCTAAAATATGATAGTCGTATGAGATTTTGGGATCAAGTTATAATACTAGATGATTTTACACAATTTAATTACCATTATCATAACAAAAAACGAATTACAAATTTCTATTTGAACATTTTTCAATTCGATTCTTAATATTTATAGAATTGTTTTTTATTTTTATAATATAATTCATATCTCTTTAAAAGTTAATGGCTAAGAATTTATGTAGTACAAATTAAATATAAGGAGTTTACTTGGAGTAATAAAAAAGTATGAACATCTATCTAAATAAAATATTACTAAGGGGGCGTTTAGATGGGGAAAGTGGGATTCCTCCGGGAATGAAATCCACTTCCCTCAGTTTGGTTTGGCCGGGAATGTTGTTCCCGGTAATATTTTATTATCAATAGTGGATTTTTAGGGTATATTACCGGGAATGTCATTACCTCCCTTTCCTTAGGTATTATAACATTACCGGCTTTTTGGACTAAAATGCCCTTAAATTTTTATTTTTTTTCAAAAATATCATTCTTCTGTCATTGAATAATAAAAATTATACGAAGGTTAAATTACAAATTTATCCTTAAATTATTTTAGATTTACAAAAAAAAATCTATAATTAAAATTTTATATGAAGTTCAGGGGTTAAAATAAAATTTTACCCTTTCATTAAACTTTTTTTATATTTTTATTTTTGTAAAAAAATTATATAAATATTATGAATTTAATTTTTTAAAGAAAATATATAAAATATTTTACAACTTGAAATATTATACAAATATATAATAAGGACAATTTGGTTAAATATACATTCTAATAATCTTTTATTCCTTTAATCAAACACGGTAATCTTACATTCCTGCTAAATCAACCAAACACAAAATATAACATTCTCAGTAATCATATTCCTTGATAATCTTTTATTCCCAATGATAATCTTACGTTCCGTGAAAAGGTTAGAGGACCTTTTTGTTATTATTTTAACCCTTTTTTATACATGAAGTACACGTAACATTGTTATTATTTCTGAAATGGAAATCTAACTAACAGTTACACCCACCATTACCATTTATAAGCAAACCAATTAATAGGCTTAGCCGCCGCCATCATATCGGACTAAATTCGATAAAGGGTAATATACATCCAAGGTCACTTAATTATAAGTTTGATAATGAATATGTCACTTTTCTTTCTAAATATTAAACTCATGTCACTAACTTAATACTGTTACAAATAGATCATTGGTCGTTTAGAATAGTGATCTGTCCTGGAATAATAATATTGAAAAAAATTAAATTGATAGAATTTGTAAATATGAAAGATTGAATTTGTTAAATTATTTCGAAGTATGAAAAAATAGATTGAATGCATAAGTTTTAAGACTAAAAGTATTATTATATCGGGCCGTATTAAATGCCAATTTATATTTTAACAATAGATTGCAAGAAATTCGATTTGTTTGTTACTAAACTCATATTCTAATGACTATGGCTGTATTTTATCCTTTGATGAATTGTCATGTGACTTGCAAGCACGTTTGACTGACGACTTCCCTGCCTGCCTGCCGTAGTCTTTATATTATTAATAGGCGTTATTATATAAAAAAACCCAATTAAATATTTTTTAACACTATTTCTTTCCCAAGATTTGTTAGAAAAATATCCTAAATTGCATTGGTAAGATAATCTCATGTCCTATAATATGAGAGTTAAGGTATCGCCTTGTACAAGGCGTGAGGTATGTCCGACGTAGACACACTTTTCAAATTACGTAATTTA